CCCCCCCCCCCCCCCTCATCCCGGAGCCCTATACTTCGCAGTGCACAGACTTTGAATGAACTTTGGTGACCCAACCGGTACTCCCAATGTGATGCACATGCGCAGGTTCATTGACTGGTCACGATGGCTAGCCCTACAAAACGCTTGTATGACTTTCTTTTTTTTTCAGCAGGTGACAGCACAGGACAAATGTTGATTTATTTTCATTCCGGTTACTGTGAACGTAAATATTGAGACTAGGTGCCCCGTTACCGAGTACATAGATACGGGGTCTAGGTGAGACCACAGAATTCTACACTGCAGAATTCTACACTAAGTGTAGAATTCTGTGGGTGAGACAAGCTGTCCGGTTATCGTGTACGTAGATACTGAGACTAGGTGCCCGGTTACCTTGTACGAAGACACTCTGAACAGGAAAAGAAGTGGAGATAAATCTAGATCACAGAATAGATCCAGAGAGTGATACTTTTTTCAAGGAATCGATTCGATAGCGATTCTGATACCGATACCTAATAGGCCCAAAGATAGTACATAACAAGATGGGCCACTCAGCCAAAAAAGTGTCCACCGGACGTTCGCTGTTTGCTTCAGATGGCGCCGCAGTCTGTTTTGAAGCTCTCTTTGGTTTTTCCAGAAGAAGAATAGGAATAGCACCTCCTTGCGTGCGCAGATCACAGAATTCTACACTTAGAATTCTGTGGCGCAGATCGACTGCTGTTCATCAGCAGTTCGGGTTCGTTCAGTGTGGAGTTTTAGTTTTTTATATAATTTTAATGACCTCGATCTCGCCTTTCATTCTAAAGTCAAATTTAACGAAGAAAACAATCACCCTTTCCTCTGGAAGAGGTTTTTTTTTTATCAGCGTAACCATTTTAAAAAAGAGTTGTTCCGAAATTTATGTAAAAACTTGCTAGTTTCACTTTGATTTTTAAAAACTCAAGTAAGGTAACTCTGTTCGCAAAGTGTGCGCTTTTGCGAAGAGGGCGCAACCGAATTTTGAGGACACTTTTAATTGGCTCAAAGAGAGAAGTGGCCCCTCTTCTTATGTAGACTCTTTGCTACTAACCTGTAATCGAAGTCCTCAATAGAAGATTATATGTCTTTATTCGGACTCGAGTCCGAATAACATTTTTTCATATTCGGAGTCGAGTCCGAATAAAAATTTCTTATTCGGACTCGAGTCCGAATATGAAAAAATGTTATTCGGTCTCAGGTCCGGAAAAAAGGAAGTGTCTTCGTTCTATAGCTCTAACGTTCAGTGCTTCCAATTTTCCGCCATTTTTTAGTTTCCCCAAGGAGTTTAGAACTAATGGAGCCTCCTCTCTCTCTTCGCGGCGCCGACTGTGGGCTAAATCACGAACTGTGGCGTTTCTTTTTATAGAATCTTATCGGGCTGGGCCACGTTGTGGGGGTGGGCGGGGTGGGGGAATGCATGCAAGGAAGAGGGGATGGAGCTGGGATGAAAGAAGAGGGGCGGGTCTTGGGAAGGGACGAAGGAGAATGGGGAAAATTAAATGAGAGAGAGAGAGAGAGAGAGAGAGAGAGAGAGAGAGAGAGAGAGAGAGAGAGAGGGGGGGGGGGGACACAGACAGACAGACAGACAGACAGAGAGACAGACAGACAGAGAGACAGACAGACAGACAGACAGACAGACAGACAGACAGACAGACAGACAGACAGAGAGAGAGAGAGAGAGATTGTGATCAACTGACGGGCTGACGGAAAATGACCTGACCGGGAGAAAAAAATAATCAATTCTGTGTGTGATACAACACAGGTGCTAGGCATTTTTACTAATTGACTTGCCTAATCTCAAGGACCTCAGAATAAAAGACTCATGTGGTTTCTGGAAACGACGGGCTCGCTGAGCGGTCTCCAGTGCGGATTCAGGAAAACTCGATCCACTCTGGATCACCTGGTCTGCCTTCAGACCTTTATACGCGAGACGTTCGCTGAAAGAGGCCACATGATCGCCATCTTGTTTTACCTAGAAAAAGCCTTCGACACAACCTGGATGTACGGCATTCTTCGAGACTTGCATGCACTCGGCATACGCGGTCACCTCCCTGGCTTCATTGGCAACTTCCTGAAGAACCGTTCCTTCCAGGTTCGTGTCGGATCCTCCCTTTCAGACCCCTACCAACAGGAGGAGCACCCTTTCTCCTCTCCTATTCGAAATTAAAATAAATTCCATAGTGAAAACCCTCCAAAACAGCATAGACAGCTCGTTATACGTTGACGACTTTTTGATATGCTGCCGTTCAAAAAATCCTCATTTGAGATCTATGGAAACGCAGCTGCACAACCTGCCACTAGATTACAACTCTAGATCTAGATCTAGATTCGAGATTTTAGTAAAGGCAGAGTCCAGGGGAAAACTTCAAAAAATTCTCGTGGTGATGAGTAAAGAGAAACCAAAACAATCTCAATAAATAATATATCGCGACTATCACGGCACATCACTTCACCTATACATGTTCCGGTAACTACCTATAAATAGATGGAAGTTTGACCCGTGTCAAAGGTTGGTAGGCCTATGTGGCTGACGATTCGTGAAGTGGCTGCGGGTTGACGAAAGGTTCAAAAGCGCTCCGCCGCGAGAGAGGGCTCCTATCAGGCGTGCGGTGCCGCCCACAGAGCATCCTCCATTACTTTTAATCTCCTTGAGTTCCCCCCACACCTTTTCTGCCGATCCGATGCCCACCGCCTCATTGATACGCCCCCCCCCCCCACACCCCCAATGTTTCCCACTTTCTTTGTTGTAGAAAAAGGTAAAATTGAAGATTAGAAGACCACCTGGCACCTGCTGCATATTATGAGCTGTGTAAAAATTTTTAAAAAAGACCGATTCGATCAAATACACAAGCCTGTGTCATCTCGATTGTTTACCAAGAAAAAGTTGTGTTGCTGTGTGGAGCTGAGCATACGGCAACTTTTGATTCCATAGACCAGCGCACAATTCATTACGTAGATCTACTTCAAGACTAGCTTATTATTGTAATAATGATCAGTTGTCGTTGGAAAAAAGACTGACGCGTATGCGACGTTCAACGCCCGGACCGATAGTGCCCCCCCCCCCCCCCCCCGACACGCACACAGCTACACGTGTGCAGGCCGCCCATCCGACCCCGACACACGCTAACGAGCCATCTTTAATTGCTTCTGATGACCTCTTGACAAATAAACATTTATTAGAAGCGCTATAACTTTTCAGGCCGGCCTCAAATTCATCAACATAAGATAGAAACTCGGCTCCTGCACAAAACGCCGTTTTGCCCGAAGTGATCCCGGTCTCTACGGTCTCTACCCAGCCTGAGGCGAGTCACGAGTGAGGCAGGACCACAGACTTCTGTAGACAGGACAGGAAGCCGGAGTCACGAGTCACAAGAAGTCGGAAGTGATGTCATGCTGGACAAGAATCCGAGTCCGAGTCCGAATAACATTTTTTCTTTTTCGGGTGTCCGAATAGTCACTTCGATTCAATGTGTGTGTGTGTAGTGTGTAGCCAAGCTTCCTCTTCTGGATGATTCATGTTTAATTAGACAAGACTTGAAGACCTCAAAGCAAATTTCGTGAATCTGTAGATCTGTAGATTTCTAGATCTAGAATCTAGAAGCTAGCCTAAGAAGAGAATCTTTGTTGTTACTTTGGCACGGTAGATCTAGATCTATATTATATAGATCTAGGCCTATCTAGAGGATTCTAGGCCTACAATAAGAGTTGACCTTAGGACGTGTGTTTTAACGTCATGTTCGCTCAAGTACAGTCAAGTTCAGGCGGTGAGTAGAGTCAAGATCTAGACTCTAGATTTAGATCTAGATCTAGATTCTAGATCTAGATCTAGAAATCTAGATCTAGATATCTTAATATCTAGATGTAGGTCTAGATTCTAGATCTAGATCTAGATTAGATTTCTGGACCGTATAATATTAATAATAATAATCAGTAGGCTATTTAAATCAGGCGCAGTTCGTCCATTGTAGGCGGATACAAATTTCAATGCTTTCAAATTGCTTTAAAAACAATACCAATGCAAAGAGCTCAGTGACACGATTCCAATGTACCTCTGGTAAGATTGAAGAATACCGGACCAGCGGACTGACTTTGCCATGTCTCAACCTTAGGCCTTAGGAATTCATAATTTTCCCGTTTTTAATATGGAGAATCTCGGACTGGTAGATCTAGATCTAGATCTAGATATATCTAAATCTAGATCTATTCATTAAAATTTTGTCAGGGGGGAGACCCCCCTGAACCCCCCCTCCCCCCTCCTCCACCCCAACCACCCGCCCCACCAACCCCACTTTCTTGCGCAATAATGTACGAGTGGTCCGGTATTCTTCAAGGCCACCTCTATTCTCACCCCGGGTGAGAATAGTGCAGGCGAGTCTTTTGGCTATTCTCACCCGGTGCGCGTTCACCGTTATAGCCTAGATCTAGGCCAACCAATTTTGCGTTCACCCTAAAAACCACAGAATTCTACACTGTGCAGAAAAATTGTAGAATTCTGTGCCGTGAACAAACGTTCCATTACTACTGTTAGCCTAGGCCTACTAAAAGCGTACAATTTTGTCTGTGGGCAGTGGAGAGAGAGAAAGAGAGAGAGGAGTAGCGCGAGAACTTCCGGGCAAAACAAAATGGCGACCCGCCTAGTTCTGCTCGATTCGAAAAGTTAAAAATAGCCGTAGCATCTTTGTAGTCGATAAAATTAGCTTACTTTTGTGCTATAACGTAATCTTTTCTTTGATCATCCACATCGATAGAAAGTATTCGGAAATTAGGAAAAACAGGTCTGGTTTCACACCGGGTGAGAATAGCCTACGGTGGCAAGTCTCACCCAGGGTGAGAGGTCGATCGTATTTCTATTCTCACCCCGGGTGAGAATAGTCACTTCCATTCTTCAATCTTCCCCTACCTCTTAGATTGCTATATGTTGAACCGTTTTTGAGATATATATGGCATTTTAAAGATCTTTTGGTTCCGCTAAAAAATATGGTAGATCTAGCGTCAATTGCCACCGAGTGACGCAATGGCAATTGACAAAAATTGACTTTTTGTCAATTGCCACCGAGTGAAGCGGTGTCAAGTCTGAAAACAACACTATCTTTAGCATTATACATAATGTGTGTCCAATCAGTCCAATGGGTCAATTTGTTCTCTCAACTAATAATAATTTCATTGGACGAACATCTAGATATCTAGATCTAGACTAGAGCTACGGTACCAACTTGGCGTGTTTTCAATGAGACGTATCTAGATCTAGGCTAGCCTTAGCCTACACTTTGGTGTAGAACCAACACAGGCAATTCTAGAAGTAGACCTAGAAGGTCACAAACGCACACAAACTCAAGCAGAAATTCATGTTATATCGGGGAACATAAATCGGGGGACGGGGGTCAGGAAAAGACACACACACACATACACACACAAACACACACACACACACACAGACGAACGCACAACACTGAGCACTCGAGCACAATTTAAGCTAGGTCTAGTCTACTCACAAACGCAAAAGAGCTCCAATTTACTTGGTGACAATTGACAAAAAGTCAATTTTTTGTCAATTGCCACCGCACCGCATCACACGGTGGCAATTGACACTACCAAAAAAAAAAAAAATATATATATATAGATCTATATATAGATTTATAGAAAAAAACGAAGTGACTAGATCTTCGGAGAAATAGTGCCGATCTTTATTTTTCCGAACGGTTTCCGGCTTCCGATCTTGTGATATTTTGCCTATTTGCGAGAGTTCGGCGCCAACTTTCATTCTGCGAGGTCAGGTGGGAAGGAGCAAATTTTTAGATCTATTTCAATTTTTAAGAGCTTGAGTGTGATATATATATATATATAATCTAATGAAGGTAGAAACATCAAATTAAACGACGTTACACTATACAACATCCCCCCCCCCCCCGCCCCTCCGGTTTTCCCCCCAAAAAATTAAGGCCGGCACTATTTCTCCGAACGTTCGGGAAAATAAAGCTGGGCACTATTTCTCCGAACGTTCGGGAAAAAAAAGCTGGGCACTATTTCTCCGAACACTCTGAAATCACATCCTTTCCCGCAAATTTCGGATAGATTTATTATATAGAGTATAGGCCTACCAAAGATTGTTCGTATACAATATATGGTTCAATCGGTCCAAAAAATGTCCGCAGTAAATATTTATAGAAAGAAATGCTAGGCTACAGTTCCAAACAGATTTTCGCTACAGACATGACGTGTTCCCTATGAAGGGTGCTGCTCTTAAACTTAATGTGTTGTGTTCACTCATGTGCTGTCTAGATCTAGATCTATGGAGTGTTATTGATAACGACACATAAAACTAGCATCTGTGTTTGTCGCGGCCGCGACCAATCAATTGTGGCTGGATTTTTTGGCATTTTTTGGTCCCCGAATAAAGTCAAATTTTCAACAAAAAAAAGAAAAAAAGAAAGAAACCGAACCTCTTTACTATTGAAAGAAAGTTCACTTAGCTTCACTTCGTCTCTTTCTCACTTGTTGTCACCACGTTGATTTGTTGAATAAGTTACAATTACTTTTATTTTTCCCTCTTTGACTCTTTGTGGTGTTTTATTTTGTTAGTGTGTAATTCTTTTTTCTTGTTATTGTTCTGATGTGTTGTTTTTCTATTAATTTTGTTGTTGTTGGGGAAAGGGGGGGGGGGGGTGTTGTATAGTGTAACGTCATTTAATTTGATGTTCCTACCTTCATATGATTCTAAATATAATACATGTGTATATATAGATTTAAATGTGTTATGTTAGAGCGTCAGGGTTGGGTTGATTTAAATCAGTTGATTTTTTAAATTTAAATCAACTTGATTTTTAAAATAAAAATCAGTGATTTAAATCACTTTTTAAAAAATCTATTTTTATTCATTTTTTACACATTTCAAAATTCAGAATTCCTTTCCTTGGTATCAGAGCTGGGTTGATTTAAATAAGTTGATTTTTAAAAATATTTTAATCAACATGATTTTTAAAATAAAATAAAGTGATTTAAATCACTTTTTAAAAAATGTATTCAGTTTTTACATATTTGAAAGATGTAAGGTTTAGTAGACTAATATAATCATGCTTTAAAGTCTGCTTTCCCCCTGTCGCTGTAAAATAATACAGTATTCAATTGACTTTTTTTTCATAATTGAAATCAGGGTTGGGTTGATTTAAATCAGTTGATTTTTAAAAATTTAAATCAACTTGATTTTTAAAATATAACTCAGTGATTTAAATCACTTTAAAAAATGTATTCTGTTTTTACATCTTTAAACATTCAGAATTCCTTTCCTTGGTTTTATAAAACAGATAAGGTTTAGTAGACTAATATAATCATGCTTAAAAGTCTGCTTTCCCCCTGTCACTGTAAAATAATACAGTATTCAATTTACTTTTTTTTTCATTATATATTGAAATTAACATTTTCTTTTTCTTTTTAGACAAACACAAGCGCGCACACACACACACACACTGTAATAAAATGCAAGTTTATCTATGCATAATCCCCCCCCCCCCCCCCCTCTTCCTTTTAGACTGACATTTTCTTCATTTTTTCTCTAGCCATAATTCACTGATATATATATATATATATATATATATATATATATATATATATATATATATATATATTTCGCAGATTAAGGCTTTCTTTTGCGGTTGCTTAAATTGATCATTAGTTAAAATAAAGACAATGCATTTTGCACTAAAAGAACATACTTTTAGCAACCAAAAATCCCAAACTGTGTCAACATTTTAAAAAAAAAAAAAAAATCCGATTTAAATTTAAAAAATCGATTTTTAAAATTTTTATTTTAAAAATCAAAAGAATCACCAACCCTGTAGAGTGTACATTCCACCAAAACTGATTACATGTACAGACACTGGCAGGCCCCTTAATGTGTGTGATTCCATAATTTACATGTAATATCCTTTACGCACATTTAGGGTTAAAACAGCCAATCTTCTTCGGACAGGTGGACACACGCCCTTATTTGTTAATTTTTGTGGTTGTTTATGGGCTGTTCTAATTTTGATTTCATTCTGTTGTGAAACCTTTCTTTTTCACGATTTTACACTCATCTAAAAATCTCTAGACTAGCTCTTGAAAATTGAAATAAATCTAGATATTAGGGAGTGCTTATTTAGGCCACATATGGCCTAAATAAGGTAAGGGAGGGGGGTTTAGCTTATTTAGGCCACACATGCTCAAACTACCGGGGGACACCCTTTTCAGGCAACTGAGTTCGTTCCACTTTCATAATGGTGCACCTTTCTCATTTAATACAATTTTGTTTCAGTGTACAACTTATATATATCATAATGAATATTGTAAGAACAAAGCACGATACGCAAAATTTTGCTCATTCCCAATGGTTTGAATGAGGGCCAGATTTTTCCTTCATGGAGGGGCAAAATCTAGGCTACCATTTTGGCACACTTTGATCAAGTGAAAAGGTCAAATCCTCCGAATGGATTTCCGGGTCAAATTTGGGGTATAAAAAGTGTGTACACAACGTGGCTGAGTCAAAGTTACACTATCTTTGCCTGGATGGCACTCTCTCGTACTGTCTTGTAGTAGTACATCTCTCTTACTGTCTCATAGTAGTACATGTAGATCTAGTAGTAGTAGTAGTAGCAAAGATCGTGTAGAGAATCTTTGGTAGTAGATTCTATCTAGTAGGCAGTTTAGTGACGTGCACGCGGCAGGGCGAATCTGCCTCGATAAGCCCCGTAGACTTTTGTGATCGGCCACGAAGCCTCGTGTTTTGATG